TGGGGCCTGGGCAGTGTCCACAAACTTTTTGTGCTCAGGGCTAGGGCTCTACCACTTGAGCTAAAGCTCTACTTCTGCATTTTTGGTGTTTAATAGGAGAAAGAAAGAAGAAAATGAATAAAGAAACTTCTTTATTTTCAAACTATATAAATGTGTAATTCCAACTCTTTGCAGCATTTATACACATTAATAAGGTATATGTTTGTAATTGCCTTTGAGCTCCAATTTGCTTTTAAACCTACAATTTAAGGCACTTTTTTGTTTCCTCTAATTCTCTTTTCATTTTTTGGGGGTAGTATGGGTTCTGAAGTCATGATTGCTAGACAGGTGCTCTACCTCTTTTTTTTTTGGGTCCGGTCGTGGGGCCTGAACTCTGGGCCTGAGCGCTGTCCCTCAGCTCTTCAGCTCAAGGCTAGAGCTCTACCGCTTGAGCCACAGCGCCACTTCCGGCTTTTTTCTTTTTGCTTATGTGGTGCTGAGGAATCAAACCCAGGGCCTCGTGCATGCAAGGCAAGCGCTCTATCACTGAGCCACCTTCCCAGCCCCAAGGTGCTCTACCTCTTGAGCCATGTTTCCAGCCCTTAATCACTTTCTCATAATGCATTAGTGATTCTTAACTGCCTGATAGTTTGTGAACATTTCTTTTTATTTGCAAATTCCCCCAAAGCTCTGTTGAGTTATGTGGAAGTTCAAAATGCCTTTTCTGTAGATAGCATTTTTAATTTAAATCTGTTAATCCCAGACTGTGGAATCATACTTAGTTTTTACTTTGCTCTTCTGGAAGTTATAAAGTCTATTAATAAAAGCCTGTTATTGGGAGGGGTATGATAAATGAGAAAGAGAACATAGATAAATATAGTCACCATACTCAATGTCCATATGGGAACAGGGAAGTGAGGAACGTGATGTGATTGGTAGGGAAGGGGTAGGTAGGAGGGAGAGGGAGGATGAGGGATGATCAAGATGCACTGAACACATAAATGGACATGTCAAATTGCAATCTCCTTGTACAACTGTTTGTAGATTAAAAAAAATAAATTGGAATAAAAAAGAAAGAAAAACCTAGTAACTCAGCACAAATTTCATGACCTGCATTTCTTAGTAGCTACTTTGCCTTTAGCATCTTTTCTGCTTGATGACTTGATAAAAGCTTGTCCTAGTTTCTTGAACCTGTTTTGCAGCAATAATTTAGCCTTTTTTTTTTTTTTTTTACTGATAGTTTCCCTGAGGTTTAAAACTATATAGTACATTTACATTGTATTACATTTTATGCAGTCTTCAATATCTTTCCTATTACTAGGCCCTCTGCAAAGCCAACGATCTCTATTAATTTTCTTTTTCTTTCTTTTCTTCTTCTTCTTTTTTTTTTTTTGGGTCCGGTTGTGGGGCCTGAACTCTGGGCCTGGGCAATGTCCCTCAGCTCTTCAGCTCAAGGCTAGTGCTCTACCAATTGAGCCACAATGCCATTTCCGGCTTTTTTCTTTTTGCTTATGTGGTGCTGAGGAATCGAACCCAGGGCCTCATGCATGCAAGGCAAGCACTCTACCACTGAGCCACCTTCCCAGTCCTCTATTAATTTTCTATTTCTAAATTCAGAAATTATAATCTTACAAATGGTCATATCCATTCAGCCTCTCTCATGGATGTTTTTCCCATTGTTTTCAGTTTAGTGTTTTTATTTCTTATGCCATTAACATCTTATGTTCTTTTTTTGGTCAATTTCTTTCTTTTCTTTTCTTTTTTTTTGGGGGGGGGGGGGTCCAATTGTGGGGCCTGAACTCTGGGCCTGGGCGCTGTCCCTCAGCTCAGCTCTTCAGCTCAAGGCTAGCGCTCTACCACTTGAGCCACAGTGCCACTTCTGGCATTTTTTCCTTTTGCTTATGTGGTGCTGAGAAGTTGAACCCAGGGCCTTATGCATGCAAGGCAAGTGCTCTACCACTGAGCCACCTTCCCAGCCCTTTTCTTTCTTTTTTTCTTTACTTTTTTCTTTTTCTTTTTGGTTGGTCATGGGGCCTGAACTCTGGGTCTGGGCTCTGTCCCTCAGCTCTTCAGCTCAAGGCTAGGGCTCTACCACTTGAGCCACAACACCACTTCCAGCCTTTTCTGCTTATGTGGTGCTGAGGAATCAAACTCAGGGCCTCATGCATGCAAGGCAAGCACTCTACCACTGAGCCACCTTCCCAGCCCTTTTTGGTCAATTTCATATCACTTGGTTCTCTTCAGGATTGTGGAGTTCTGATTTATTGCTCTGTCTGGGTGTGATTATTTGTTCTGGTAAATTTTCTAGAAATATGGTAATTTAGGAAAATGAAAAAAATCCATTTCAACAGAAAGATTACATTTTTTTTTTAGTTAACATTCAACAGAATCACAAAAATGCACTTCATTTTTTACAAATTCTTGTGTATTTCCATTCTGCCTAAGAATGATATCATAATGTGTGAAAAATTTCTTTCACAATGGATATGTTGCCAAAATCTAGTATTATGTAATCTGTGTCCGAACAGAAATAAAAAAGTAGCAGGTTCTTCATGGAAGAAGAAACATTGCTAGGTGATCATATCTTCCATTCTTAGTTTTCAAGTTATAGTACGCGGCCATTAGAGGAAAAACTTAAGAATATAGAAAAATGTAAAATAGAAAAAATAAAGTCAGTAATTCCACTACCCACAAAACTGTTTCTATGAAAGCCCAAATTTTATTGAAGCCAATATCTAGCCCCTCCTAAGCCTTTCTAAATCCTCCTCTTTGACAAACTGGGACTTTCTGAGTGGAAGACACAGTGTAAATAGAAGGATCCTTAGGACTTTTATGGAAGGGATGGGACTGTAGGAAAAAAACCTACAAATTGCTCCAGAGATGACATCTTGTTCTTATTTAGCTTTCTTTGAGTCATTAACAGTCAGGCGCCACTGATGCTGAAACTTATCATTATTATAACCACAAATGGGTTAATGCTCAAACAAAGCTATATTCTTGGGGCTTGTTCCCAGCTTCACCACATAGACCCCAATACCTTCCAAATCCCAAGATAATGCTCCATAAATAAGAGGATGTCAAATATGTAGCCTGGACTTAAAATTCTCTTCTTTTATCTGTGAGCTTCCATTTGCTAGCAGGGCAGGGCAAAAAAGAAAATAAATAAATAAATAAATAAACACCAAGCCAACAACTCCTAAAATAAGAGGCTATGTGGTTTAGTGGTCAGACCACTAGCCTGGATGTTAGCATAGTTGAGAATCAGTTCCAGCCCTCCCACTGACTGGATGGATGACACTAGACAAGTCATTTTGTGCCTCTTGCCTCAGTTTCCCTACTTAAAAAAGGGAGAAATGCCTAAGTTTTCTGGGGATATATGACTGACATCTGCAAATAGCAGTAGGTTGCTTGGGAAGAAAGTCCTTTGTAAATTATATAGTGTTTATTGATATCATAATAATAGGCCACAGTTATGAAATTTATAACTCCTCAAGCTTCATGGGAAGAGTGGAAGAGGGAAATTTTTAGATGGAATTTTCAGGACTTCACACGAATTTCAACATAGTAAACTCATTACCTCAAAATACTAAACACAGCTCCTAGTTTGGCTCTGTTCCTTCCTCTTTACCACATCCAAAGTCAGTGTGACTCACAGGAGCCTAGAATTGAGACACATATACAATTTTAAGGGAAAGAGAGAATTAGAAGGTTTGAGGCTCCTTGCTGGAGGAGGCTAAGAATAGGCCCCTCAGAACACAAAGAGAAGAACCTTCTGTTTTCTTCTCCTCCCAGTGTAGGTGGTCTACTGGTTTCCTAGGCATTTCTTTGATGGCATGATTTTTTGTTTTCTTTCTTAAAAAAAAAAAAAAAAAAAACCCCAAAACCCCATCTAGTTGGAGGGTGAGGGCACTTACACTTACTTTTTTTTTTTTTTTTGGTCAGTTGTGGGGCCTGAACTCTGAGCCTGGGTGCTGTCCCTCAGCTCTTCAGCTAAGGCAAGCGCTCTACCACTTGAGCCACAGCGCCACTTCCAGCTTTACTTTTTTATGTTTTTTAAGTGAGGACACAGTGTCTTTTGCAGCTAGGTTTGGACTGAGACAGTAGCTACAGATCTTTTACCTGTTGTTGGGAGTGGAGGGGAGCAAAAAGAAGTAATCTGGGAACTTGAAAACTGATTAATATTCTTCCTTCTTTTTTTTTTGTCGGTCCTGGGGCCTGAACTCTGGGCCTAGACGCAGCTCAAGGCTAGCACTCTACCACTGGAGCTACAGCGCCACTTCCGGTTTTCTGGTGGTTTATTGGAGATAGGAGTCTCATGGTCTTTGCTGCCCGGGCTGGCTTTGAACCGCGATCCTCAGATCTCAGCCTCCTGAGTAGCTAGGATTACAGGCGTGAGCCACCAGCTACCATTCTTAAACAGTTGGGAATGTGTGTTTGTGTGTCTATGTCTGTGTATGGATTTAAAACTTGTCATTTGGGAAGGATATCAAATAGTAAGGGATAAGAATAGAAGAACTGTGGGGAGGAATTTGAGAGGAAATAGCAATTATCTCACAGAAGATTAATGAGCATCCTTTGTGTCCAGCCCTGTCATAGGCTAAAAGACATCCTTGACCTCAAGCAGCAGCCAAGATACAATGTGCACGTGGAAGCACTTTGTAGCAACTTAAGGTTGCATATTTTAAAAGAGAGAAAAACAGGTAATGGGAAAATAAGAGTGCTTACGGGTGGGAACTATTATTGTCAGGATAACAGCTGTATGAAGCAGGAATCCTTATGAACTTCAAAAATTTCGGATACAGATGGTGGATAGTAATCATTGGACTTCAGGAAATATAACAAATTCAGAGGATTCTACACCTCAGATCCTCTTAAAACCATGTCCACAAGAAGTCGAGGCCCAAAGTAAACCTGGAAGGCCGAGAACCGACCGCCGCTCCCGGAACTTGCGTGGTCGGCAGCGCGTTGCGCTCCGGAGACTGTTCGCGTGACACCGTCTCCCCTTCCCATCCCGCCTCCCGCCTCACGGGTGCCATGGTAACGGCGAGACTGCATCCTGGGTTCCGGAAGTCGGGAGCTGGAGCTGCCGGGGTCAGAGGATGCTGAGTCCTGAGCGCCTCGCTCTACCGGACTACGAGTATCTGGGTAGGAGCTTCCTTCCCCCTCGGGCCGGAAAGTAGTGCAAACAAGTTACGCTGAAGTCTGTGGAGGAGGCGAGGGCCGGGGTGGAGTAGGAAAGTGGGTCCGGGTAGACTGGGGCGGGCCGGAGAGTTGGGGGTTCCAGGGCCTGAGCCTGCAATGTAAGGCCGCACGAGGAGGAAAAATGGCATGTGGGGAGTACAGAATGTCTGAAACGGACTGGCCGGAACTTAGGCAAGGTTGTTTTGTCTTCACAACAGGACAGTTGAGAATTTGGGGCTCGGTTGAGATTATTAAGAAGCTGGTAGTGCAGTCAATACAGAACACAAGGCACCCCGTTATTCGCCCCATGAATAATCTCTAACCGTCATCGTGACATTATCATTTGAGCTTTTATATTACTATTACGGCTCAGCGTTCTTCATTTGAATCTTCTCAATAGCTCTGGGAGGAATTACTGTGGTTCTTTCCATCTTACAGATGGAGAAGCTAAGGCTGAAGAGGTAGGTAACTCGCATAAATAAGTTAGAAAAAGCAGTACAAGGATCTGAGCCTGCTTTGTCCACTCCAGGACTTGACTCTTTGTTGTTGTTGTTTGTTTCTTAAGTCCTGTTTACTTTGTCATATCTCTTTGCATTTTGAATTTAACATCCACCATCAGGGAGACTATGTACAGTTTGTCTCTCTGATCTTGGCTTACCTAACTCAACATGATCTGTTCTACTTCCACACATTTCCTTGCAAATGCCATTTATTTTGTCCTTTCTAATGGCTGCATAATATTCCATGGTATATAGGTACCACAATTTTTGGATCCACTCATCTGTAGTGGGGCATCTGTGTTGTTTCCAGAACTTGACTCTTGACTGAGCTCTTGAACTAAGGCAAAGGTTGTAGTATTCTACTTTATTGAACACTTCTGAGTGTGTAAGGCCTTTACTTCATGAGAACACCCATGTATATTTGTACAAGATGGAGAGGGAGAAGGTGTACTGGTCCTGGGGATTGAACTCAGGGTCTGGGTGCTGTCCCTGAGATTTTTTTTTTTTGCTTAAGTCTAACACTTTACCACTTTGAGCTACAGTGCCACTTCTGGTTTTCTGGTGGTTAATTGGTGATAAGAGTCTCACAGACTTTCCTGCCTGGGTTTGCTTCTAACCAAGATCCTCATCTCAGCTTCCTGAGTAGCTAGGATTACAGGCATGAGCCACTGGCACCTAGCCTTGTCCCTGAGCTTTTGTGCTCAAGGCTAGTGTTTTACCACTTGAGCCAAAGCTCCACTTCCATCTTTTCACTGATTAATTGGAGATAAAGAGTTTCATGGACTTTCCTGCCTGGGCTGGCTTTGAACTACAATCCGTAGATCTCAGCCTCTAGAGATAAAGAGTTTCATGGACTTTCCTGCCTGGGCTGGCTTTGAACTGCAATCCGTAGATCTCAGCCTCTAGAGTAGTTAGGATTATGAGTGTGAGTCACCAGCAGCCAACTCACTCATTGTTTTTATGAGGTAAGGGACTCCAGGCTGGCCTTAAACTATGATCTTTCCCATCTGTGCCTCTTGAGTAGCTAGGATTACAAGTGTGAGCCACTAACCCCAGTTTTTTTTTTTTTTTTTTTTTAAATGTAAAGGGGTTTAGGTAAAAGTCTTCTCCGACTCTTTTGTGTATTTCTTGATATTGTGGCTTGAACTTGTGCTTTTTGCTTGTCTTTCACTTCGCTTTTTTTTTTTTGTCGGTTGTGGGGCTTGAACTCTGGTCCTGAGTGCTGTCCCTCAGCTCTTCAGCTCAAGGCGAGCGCTCTACCACTTGAGCCACAGCGCCACTTCTGGTTTTCTGGTGGTTTATTGGAGATAGGAGTCTCACGGTCTTTCCTGCCCGGGCTGGCTTTGAACCGAGATCCTCAGATCTCAGCCTTCTGAGTAGCTAGGATTACAGGTGTGAGCCACCAGCGCCCGGCTTCACTTGGCTTTTTTGCTCAGTGTTGGAGCTCTTCTACTTGAGCCACATCTTTACATCTGGTTTCGTTTGTTAATTGGAGATAAGAGTCTCATAGATTTGTCTCTTGGGGCTGTCTTCTTCAGACCCCAACCTCCTGAGTAGCTAGGATCCTAGTGTGAGCCACCAGTGCTTGGCTTTTCCCTCTTCATTTCCTCCAGTCTGTCATGTTCCCAGCCATCCTCAGCTCTTCCCACCTAACCACTCTTACTATTTTCCTGGGTGTCCTTCCAGAGTGACTTTATCATGTACCTAAGAGAGCATAACATGTAGTGCACATGTTTTTCATTTAATAATTGCAGAATAATATCTGTATCAACAAAATGCTGTGGTGTTCCTTAAAATTTTTAATTTTTAGTTACATAGTACTTAAATAATTTATTTAATCAATTCCATACTGGTGGATAATGACTTGTTTATAGCTTTATTTTTTTCTCCTATTACTACAAACACCTCTAGGAACAACCTACAGTTTTGTTCTTTTGCAAGTGTGTCTGCCAGGATAAATCCCACTGAGTGGAATTGGTATGTCAAGAGTATTCACTTATGGAATATCAATAGATATTGCTCTGTTGTCCTTCATAAGGGTTAGACCGGGGCTGGGAAGGTGGCTCAGTGGTAGAGCGCTTGGCTTGCATGCATGAGGCCCTAGGTTCGATTCCTCAGTACCACATAAGCAAAAAAGAAAAAAGCCAGAAGTGGCGCTGTGGCTCAAGTGGTAGAGTGCCAGCCTTGAGCTGAGGACCTGAGGGACAGCGCCCAGGCCCAGAGTTCAGGCCCCATGACCGGACCCCCCCCCCAAAAAAGAAAAAGGGTTGGACCATTTTATACTAGACACCAACAGTGTCTAGTACAATGCCTGTTTTCCATGATCTTGGATTTTTTTCAGCCTGTGAAAGGAAGTGGAATTTTTTAAAATACAAGTTTAAAGACTACTTGGCTTTTGTAAGATACATGTATATACATATATATGTATATATTTGTGTATATCCATACCAATAGACACACGTACACATACACACCCATATATACAGCAGAGTGGGTATGTTTGTTGGGGGAGAGTTTAAGGAGTGACCACAAAATGGCATGATTATATCATAGGTAATTTTGTATTCAGTGCATAACAATCTCAAGTAATAACAATCAACATCTTTTGCTAACAGTATTGTATATTTTATATATTTGTCTCATTTGCCTAGCATTCAATAAATGTATAAAACATTTAAATATTAGTACATGGCTCAGTTCTTGGTTGTTTTCTGTGTGAATCATATGTCTCAAAGGCTTGGTGTATTTGGTATACTGGTGACTTAGTAAGTAGAAGTTGGTGATCTCTTCCTAGTGGCTTATGTGGAAGATTAACTCAGTGGCAATATTGACTTGGAATTTATAAAGAGATTCAGTCTCAGGTTGTTAGAAAAAGCAGTAGTGTTCATGGAGTTCCACCATCCACTAATACTTGTATCCTGACAAATATTCCTTCAGGCTCTGTTGCATAGTGAAGTGTCTCACCTTGCTGTACCATTCATCATCTGGCCATTTACAAGTACTCTAAGCAGAGTTATTTTCTTCCTTGGCTTCATGATCCAACAAACCACACAACTTTGCTGAAATGTGTTCAGTAGAGAACCATCCTTGCCTGTAATGATTAGGTTTCTTTTAGTGGCAGGCTGTTTTGAAGCACTCAGTCTCGGTTTAATAACCATTTAAAACACTGCATTTGGGTGGCTTACACAGGTGGTTTGGAGTTCAGGGCTAATCCGGGCTACAATAGTTACAGCCTGTCTAAAACAAACAAAGAATAAAAATAAATTAAAAAAAATGAAAGCACTCTCCAGAGATTAGATTATCCTTCCTGATTTAAGAATTTATGTGTTTGTAGGCTTAAAAAATTTGTTTTTGCAAATTATAAAGTTCATTGCATGTGAATAAAACACATATAGCAAGAAAACAATTGCAGAGACAGGAAAATCCTTGGCATTCAGTGAAATGAAAAGTTAAAGGGGAGTACCCCTTGGTAAGTATATTTTAGGTTTATATATTATAGTAACAGCTGTACAGTGTCTATGGGTAACTTTTTTCTACCTGCCTGCCAGATACTATATTTGCCTTTTCGACTATTAGTGAAGAAACAACATTTCATCATGTTGGGTAAATGGATCCTTTCCCCATTTATTTGTGGATTAGGATTCTGTAATCCTGGCATGGCATGATTTAGGATCTTGAGATTATCATTGAAGAAGAACTCAATGGTGATTATGTTGGAATCAAAATTACTTCATCAAAATGTAGTAATAGAGAGAGGAGAAACAGTTCAAGAGCTTGAAATAAAACCTAGAGAGAAGCCAGGTGCCAGTGTCTCACACCTGTAATCCTAGCTACTCAAGAGGGCTGAGCTCTGAGGATTGCAATTTGAAGCCAGGAAAGTCTGTGACACTCTTTTATCAATCCAATTCAACCACCAAAAAGCCAGAAGTTGCACTGTGGCTCAAATGGTAAAATGCTAGACTTAAAAGCTCAGGGATAGCGCACCCAGGACCTGAGTGCATACCTTTGGACTGGTGTGCATGCATGTGCAAACACATACACACACACTCCAGAAAGATTTCCAGCTTTATGAGAGGCTACTTATGGGAAACATCTGCCAGAGGCCAGGGTGTGTCTGTGAATCTGGTTGGGTGTGAAGAACTGTTCGGAGCTGAAGGGCAGCCTGTTCAGGACCCAGTGATGACTGAGTGTAAGTAAGAGGGTTGTGAGGTTTATTTTTTACTCACCTAATTTGGTGAAATGCTTACCTTCTCTCATGCTCCAAGTTGGCTCTTCTTTTGCTTGGAACCTGCTTATTCTCCCTAAAGTTGGTAATGGGCTGGTGAAATTAGCCCTTAGAAATCATCATTGCCTTTCTTCTTTGAGGTCTGTTCATTCAGAGAAATCATAATAAATGGATAGTTTTTTTTTTTAAAGGCTTAGTTTTCTTTTTAAAATAAATTGTCATCTTTCCTTTTTTTTCAA